TTGATTTTGCACACGAAAAGGCTAAAAAAATTAATTGTATTTGATATATTTTTAATTTTTTAATTAAATTTAATAATTTAATATTTATTGTTATTGTATGACACTGTAAAAGTACTGTACATGTCGGTTTTTATATAATGACTTGTTCTATTTTCATAACATTTACGAGTATTTTTATTTTATTATTTTTATATTTTGTAAAGAAAAATGTGGTCCCTCATAATGTTTTTTTTTTCTAAATAATAATAAGGGTTTATTAGTAAAAACCAAATGTCTTTATTTTATATACCCCTCTATTCTCCAAAAATTAAATATTGAATACGGGTATCATAAATTATATTTGCTTAGGATGGCATAAAACCTAAGACCTGTCTTGGATGGGCATTACTTGCAGTTACATGAAATATAATTTCTTTTTAAATGTAAAATATTTGTATTTTATTCAAGATTTACAATTTTTAATTTACAATTGTAACAATATATTTTCAGATAATTGTCAAAAATTTAGTATTAAAATTGTGTCAAAATTACGAAGACAATGACTACAATGTTATGATTAGGATTTCCATAGTACATGTTGTGTATTATAGTTTATAATGGGCTTTCAAATTTTGAACGAAGTAATATACTGGTATATAAAAGTTTAAAGGAGTATATAAGTATATAATAAAGGAATATTTTATAAAAACTTTAAATATTCTTTTATTATATTCTATACTAACATATAATATTTGAAAACTGTGTCTTATACTTTTGTGGTTTAAGAAATTAATATTTTTTAAATTGATTTTCAAGAAAATTTTATAGAATTAATATATTATAGCATTTTTGTATACTAGCATTTAAGTACAATATACATTTTATATAAATAATTTAGTTTAAGATATTTACTTTCGGATCAAAAGCAGCATATCAGCAAGATTTTAGCTGAGACTCTGAAGCCCATAAGAAATAATTTGTTTGTGTTACTTACACTTTCAATGGTTCATATAATTATCATAAATTAAACATTCAAAATTATCAAAAATTAAAACAAATACTTACCATTAGTTTTAATTAAAAATAATGAATAAAATTAAGTACACAGTAACTACGTATTTCTTTTTTCCTTTTTTACAATTTTGCAGTCATCCGATAACACAATAGCGATTTCTAATCAATTTATAATCTCTATTTTTATTTGATCTATAATATTTCTAATTAATTTAATTTTACATAAAATACAATGAAAATTTAAAGTATATCATTATTTTAAATATATACTCATTAGATAGCATTGTGATTTTTATTATTCTCATGTTCATTTTTTATAAATAATTTTGAAGACCATATGTATTGTAATTTTATGTTAAATTCAAATGTTTAACAATCTAACTAAAATGTATTAAGGTATAAATATTTTTGATGATTTGAGAGTATATATTGAATTTATAGTTCCGATAAAGTGGCAGATGGCATTTACTAAATAATGTACAATCCAGTAACAAAATAAACTGTAAAATTATATTTCCAAGTATCAGTCAACACACTACTACGAATAAATATTATAAGAACAGTTGTTAAAATAGTCTATTATATTTAAAGGAAAATTTTATTCTATATAATTGCAATACCCGTAATATATTATATATAAAAAAACTGAATAAATTATGTTTAAACTTTTTATATAAAATGATAATATAAGACTATTTGTAAATGAATGTAACAAAAACTGAAATTAAGGAACTATAATTATAATTATAATCTAGTATTAGTTTTATAAGAATTCATGTTATACAATTGAAAATTTTAATTATAATAATATTGAGTAATCATTTAATATAACGTAAAATATACTGTTTAGTACACAGAATGTTTTATTGTTTTTTGTTATATAACACTTGATATTATAATTCGTTATGTTTATAATAATCATTAATTTATGCTTTATGTTATATTTAAAAACGAAGTTAATTTAGGCAAAAACCATCTCAGCCGTTTTTCATTGTACGGGCAATGAATACGTGATATGATACGTTATACGCCAATGATATGTGGATAATAATGTATTATTTTCCACGTATCGAAATATAAAATGCAATATTGTATTAAGGAAATTTGAATGTATACTGAGAAAATGCTATGATACTGGAAGAGATGTATACTAAAGCTTTAGAATGTTAATAAAAAGTCATTCATGCAGAATCAAATATGTATTTCTACATAAAATTAATTAAATAATAATATTGCCATAGGCAAATAACTGACAGGTTTTTTTTAAAAAAAAAACTTAACTATATGAATTAAAAGTTCATAAATTAAGAATATTATTACCATACTTCCATACTTATTTTCATGTATTAGCCTAATATAATTTATTAGTTTTATAGTTTTACTGTTTTTTATCAGAAAGGAGAGGAAGATTCTTAAATAATAAAAAGTTGTATGATTTTTTTCACTATTTTTTAGTCTTATTTAATGTATTATTCAGAGTACTTTGGGTTATTTTTCAATTAATATACCTTGATTTATATAGATTTTGTTATTAAATCATTTTGACTTAATATAATATTGTAAAGCATAAAGTGGTATGTTTTAAGTGTTTTATAATTCTGGTAAATAAATGTAAACAAGTTTATTTTAATAAAAAGAAATAAGTTATATCATCAAAAATATACCTATTAAATGAATGAATATGATTAATATATAATCAATTTCATTATGGGAATTAATATACAAATTTTAATTTTATAGTATTTAAATTGTCAAATGAGACATGTACGAAAGGTGTGAAAGAAATACTCATGTTAGATATTTATCTAAATACTATGTATTGATTGATAATTAATATTAAGATAAATTTAATTTTTCTATCCCTTTACAAATTACGTAATCCATAAAAATATTTAAAAACACGTTCTCAACTAAAAGGAGAAAAAACTGGTTTCCTGGATGATTTAGTTACTTGATATCTATAATACATAACATTTATCACATTTTATGTGAAATTTATTTATAAATAATTCAATAATTTAATATCCACTTTCAATTATTAATTTTAATTTCATGAAATATATGATATATATATATATATATATATATATTTTAACTTTCACTTCAGTTCATCTACTATTAACGTCCAATGTTATAAAGTACTACGCCTATTATAATTAATAATTCACTCAATCATATTAAAATATTTAATATTATGATTTTGATTTATACACATACTCAATGTCAAAGTTATAATTTATTGTCTTTTAAGTAGATTATTCGTAATTTCTATCATTTTGTGGCTATGTTTAAGTATTTTTTTTTATGCTGAAATCGCTAAATAAATTACGAATATTTTGATTGACAATAATGTTACTAAATTATACATGTTCAACCCAGAATTTTTAAATAGTAAAAAAATATTAACTATAACTAATAATTATTTATTTAAATTTTTAATACAAAATAAATGTTTCTATAAAAATACGTTTATTTATTATATTTATATTGGATTATATTAATTATGAATTTAAAAATTAATTATTTTTATATAATAAATCGGCTGGTGCAGAGTATGGTATTATGATATTACATCTGAAAATTTTCCAAGAATCAGTGCTTCGACAGATTATAGATGGTAAATCACAAAAATTTTTAGTTAACAACAAATTATTTTGTTATTTAATAAGTATATTGAAAAACAATTCGTGGCTTTTTTTGTCAAAAGTTGAAAGTTATTTACAATTTACATAAAATAATATAACACCAATAGGTAAATGTATTTATTAGATAGCGATTATTTGGTATAAAAATAAAAACATGAAACGTTCACTAAGTACGCACCAAATATGTAATGTGTCCAAAGACACCGTACAGAACAAATGTGATTTAAATGAAAAACGGTTCACAATATTCAAATTCGTTCTTACGAACTATTTTAGTTATTTTTTAAAAATCCAAGTTTTAAATGAATGACATTTACCGACTGCAGTCACGTTGTGTGATTCATTAATACTAACACATTCATCGGTAACTGATCATTCTCACGAATATAGTTGAATAATATTTATAAACATTGTTCTGTGGTTAAATTTTTAGTTGGTAAATCTGAACAAATTGTTTCGTATAAGAAAGAAAACGAAGTATACGAAAAAAACGTTTTTGTTGCATCTGGATTATAACTATTATTAAGTTTTATTAATTATAACTCGGTACAACCAAAATTTTAGCCGTTCACAAATTTTCGCTCAGAAAAATTTTGCGAACACGATGATCACTTTGAAAATCATAGAGATTTACTTAATAAATACATAAATAAACAATTAAAAACAGTGGGCTTGCACTCGGAGGTGGTGCCTGTCATTTTTCTAACTTCTGGTTTGCGTGCATTTAAATTTAAAAATAATTGTTTCGAGTCAGTTTCCGTTATGTCTTCCGTCGCACGTCACGTTGTCGTGCGCCCAACGAACTCGTACGGTAACTGTGTTGCCTACCATCCGAAACGTAGGATACGTTTTTCGTGTGTCTCTGCGGGCTATTATTTTCGTGTGTACGTTGAAATCTCCACTATTCGTCCGCTACACCGTTCTGCCCCTTCTCCAGCTGGAAATCGAACTATCGAGCCGCCCGGGCAGCGGTACTGCAGTGCCTCTGACGAATGCCGTATTCATCTTACACCAGCGTACAGGTACTGGTTAGCTATCGGTTTTCCATACGATCAAATCCACCACCACTTAACCATCGTCTCCGCAGCGCCAAGACCTTCTTCTACATAATACGAGTTTTGCCCCGCGGTCAATTTATGGTACGTCTTATAATGCGATATTAACATAATACTAGCCGCACTCCTTCTCCTCTCGTTTATTCCTCCGCGCCAGCGACTGAACCAAGATACAGCGAAGGCGGCGGCGGCGGTGGCGGTTACACAACGCTTCGGCCTCGACGGTCACCATCACCACCACCACCACCACCACCACCACTGCCATCGACGGCAGTGCCGCCGCCTCCTCCATCGCGTTCCACTATTACTGTACAAACGTTGACTGCAGTCTCTGCCAGTGTACGACGATCTAAAGAAGTTTCTATTCGGTGCACGCTAAACGACGGCAATTCGTTTTATATTTATTTTCTTATTTACTTTCTCTGCGTCGTCCCAACGTCGCGTTGCACAAAATTCGTGTGTAATATAAATGTATGTACATGGTTCTAATATCCATCTAGTGTTGAGTTAAACGTAAACCGAGTGTGTCATTTTAGTTTTAATTCAAAAATCTTATCAAGCCGTGTGCCAGAAAGTACGACCAACGACAACATCTCCAGTAAGATAATATTTTGCAATCTCAAACATTTGTTTGACAAATGTTTGACAACATTTGTCCTCGAGCTTATCGTATATTTTATGCTTTTGTCAGCGTGTGATTTCCGTCGAGAAAACACGATTGCCGTTCATTTTAATTATTTCTCACATTCGAATATTTTGATTAATCATATATAGTTGTGGTCAAGAGAGTCCGAGGAGGTGATAAGGTCATTGTCGCTGACACATAAGTTTACTATGTCTAACGATGAACGATCACAACGTAATAATGCAGATTGTGTCACTACCACTAGATCGTGACGACATAATCCGATCTGTAAAATGTACTGGATTCATCATCGAAATCGAGGAAAACTCTGTGCATGATCTTTGTCGCATGACATATTAGAAGTTTCATTCGACAATATGAAACGTTTTGCTCCGCATTGTACGAAGAACAGTTTGACAATGTCGTTGCTTGCCGTCATCGTCTCTACAACTTTACTGTTGTCTACGAAGACAACAGTAGTACAAGGTATGTGCTATATTATTTTAGTATTTATTTGTACATTTTTTAAATAACATGAAATTAGTAAATATTTGAAATAAAATTCTGTGTATGGTCAATTATTGTAATACTGTATTTGAAAGCACATATGATGATATTTAATGATTCTTATCTCCGTAATTATGTGTTAGTTTTTATTAGGTAAAAAAATTAATTAATTTAAAGTACTTAAATTTTATTGAGTAACTAAGAAGTATACTTGCTTTTACTTTAAGTAATCAAATATATTTAATGAAAATAAACATTAAAAAACTGACAATTTTGTATACACGTAACGCCGAAGAACTTTTCTTATACGAGCTTCTATAGTTTTATTTATAACATGATTTAATTTTTCATTGTCTATCCATACATTTTTGAAAATGAATCATTTAATTGAAAATACACCCGACAGACTTAATGTCATGTTAATTATACCTTCAATGCCAAATACGACTTAATGTTCATGGTTTTAAAAACACGATTAAAGAGATAAACATAAATGTAACAACAGGTTATAACTAATCATCTCCGTATATGTATATTTAAGTGTCTGTGTGTGTGTGTGTGTGTGTGTGTGTATTCTTGTATTGGTATATTTCCACTATTCATATGTGAATAATCTTTTTCTACACTATATGATGGAATCTAGACTTAATTATGCCATTTAGAATTATCAAATGACTATTAATGTAAGCACCTAATCATCGGAAAATAATTTAATAACTATGGACTTCTATGTAGGTATGCATAAAGAATATAAATTTTTATTTAAATCAGTATATATATATATATGCGTTGTACTTTTTTTCCGTATCAATATACTTGTATTATGTTACTCTGTTACTCTGTATGTACCATATTTGTGTGTGTGTAAAAAAAGGAATTTCGACCAATTATGAAATGGGCATCGCCCCACAGCTATATGTATCATGTATGCGGCGGGTGTCCTTGGTTCGTGACGACAACGACTTTAAGAATATTACTACTACCTCCAGGTTGCCAAGCCGTCTTAAGCACATACATTCCTGTATAATATGTACAGGTATATGCAGCCGAGTGTATATGTATGTTACGACGTTGCCACGATTTTATATTGAATGCGATTTATAATACTTTTACTTTCACTTTGTTACGATGGCCGCCCTCGCACAGAATACCGACGGCATTGCGCGATACAATAACGGTGGAGGTGCCTCGGCGAGGCCGTGGACCGTAATCCGCGGTAATGGCATTATGGCATTTCAGAATTCAGGAAACAAGTCTTAAACACATAATATGAATAACAAAAATCAAATAGATAGTTCGTGTGCAGCCCGTGGAGTGCTATGCGCACGCCACAATAGTATGTTGAGCGAGAAACAAAATTATTGATTAAGTTTGGCGTGCGTCGAAAATATTTGAAAAATAAAACTATAATCATACCTTGGCAACTGATGATTTAATACCCCCGTGTAACATTGGACACGATGGCCTCTTATAAAATTTACATGAACCAAATCACAACAATCGAACCAGTGTTTTTCAATGTTATTCCCTAGATACTATATAATACTAAATACAACAAAGAAAAAAAAAATACATCAAAACATTTTGACTATATTAATACATAGTATATTTAAAAAAAATATGTTCGCTACTTATTTAAGTACTTAAAAGCTTGTGTTTATACAAATTTAAAAATCCGAAATTTAACTTTCGAAATTAAGAACTAAGAATAGTATAGTAGCAGATGCTACATCGACATACGAAAAGTCATTTAAATACTTTCAAATAATAATAATAATAATACTGATTCTGGATCTCGCACAAATTCTGGCTGAAAATGTCTATTGTACGTTGTTATAATAAATCATCAATTTCAATTTAATATATGGTCAACTTAAAAATACACACTCACATTTACCGCATCGCAGCGCTTTACACGACGGGGTCGTTCACATGATCTTACTACTCAATTACCCACACATTTTACACCTATCAATATATTATGTTATTATTACTACATAATAATATCATGATTCATAATTATTATACACCGTATCGTGTTGAATTCATCGTTGTATTGCGCATATAATTATTTTCATCATGTTATAAAAAGTTAAAAATATTTTGTATAAAGATTTCTGTAAACAATTTTCACAAGGAATATATAAAAAAAAATATAATATAAATATAAAAAAAAAATAAGAACAACTAAAACGACGTGTTTCAGTATGACATCTATTTGTACGAAAAAATCTCGTTTCAGTAATATCAAACATCATGGTTAATAATACTGTTATGAGTGTTATTTAATAAATAAGTTATAACTCGTTCTTTGTATTATTCGAATCACGTCTGAACATTTATTTCCGTCGTCCTAGTGTACTCAAAAACCAAAAACGTCAACCAGTACCGATAAACAATAAAAAGAAGAACAGTATTAGTACTTTATATTTTCAACCGGTAACCATTGTTCAATACGTTTTGGTTGTTTTTGAATGATTTGTAATTCTGACCAATTTAACGATACGCATTCAATAGATATCAATCAAAAACGTTGATTTTCATACAATTTACTCGTATATTGATTTAAGTTACAAACCAAAAACTTAGGAAATTCATTTTTGTAATATTTTCATACTACCATGAAAAATAATCTTTAAAATATATTAATGTGCTTATGTGTATATTAAAATTAATTATCAGGTAGTTCGTGTTATTACACTGTTGTACAACACTTGATGATAATAATAATAGTAATGAAACACTTTTATGTATTATAATAATATATAGGCTTTACTGTAAGAGCGGATTAATTTTAACTTTATAATTATAGTTATAATTATAATATTCAGGTCCATATTTCTTTTACTCTATATATTTTATCCATTACGTAATTTAGACAAGAATGTTGTGCAATAATAAACATTATATGGCGCGTGCTATACACACCCCCGCTGTATAATATTTATACAAAAGTATAATATGTATTTGACACAAATGCGAGAACACTGTATGTAAACGGAAAATAAATTGCACAATAAATTGATGGACATTTGTCGTGACATATTTCAACAAGCTGTAATATTATAAAGCAGTGTACTAGCTGCGGTATTACGCGGACAATGACGATGTCAAAGAAAACAACAAAGTCGATGGCGGAAAACCGAAAAAAAAAAAAAATCAGAATGAAAATAAAATACATTTCGTCATGGTGGGACTTACCTAACGCGGACCTGTAGATAGTATAAATGTATACTACCGGTCAATGGTAACGTGTTTTACCTTGTTAATACAGTTTAGGAAAAAAATGAACAACGGATAAAAAAATATCACAAAGGGAAAAAAATTGTGTGCACAATTAATCGTGTCTGGATGCTAACATAACGAGTTAGCCTTATGGAACCATGATATAGCGCAAACGTAAATAATAAATAGATAAAATACCGAAATCATGTTCTCAAAATAATTTAAGTATATCTTATTACATGCGTAGAATTTAAATAAAATACTTTTGAGTGTGGCGATCACCGTTAATAGTGATGTAGTCATAATTAAATTAAAAAAGAAAAAAAAAATTTCGTGGATTGGATTTTATTTGATTAGGCTACTGATACCTAATTATTATTTTGGTTTAATTGGGACACAAACCGTGGTTATTTTTATTTACACGGTCTATCGACGCGAGAAAAAAATACAAGAAAATATTCTAATAATATATATTGTTTTTAATTTCATGTCACTTCACAAATAAAAGATAAAAACGAAACAGGAACAGTATTGTTTTTATTTACTTACACATTTATTGTTATATTTTATTTTCTTTCGCCACTTTCCGATTCTCGTCATATTCAAATGTATTCACAACAATACACAATAAATATGTTATCGCGTAACATACATTTATACATTTATATTTTTACTTTCAATATTTTCGATACAAAACATATTTGTAGGTTTCACGATTTAATACTTTGGATAAAACACTTCTATATTTACGTAAATCTTATGTTACGCTAAAATACGAAGAATAGGTTTTCCAGGTTTTATTGCATATTACATCGATTGTCATAAAAATATAGTAATATAAATGAATGTAGAAATAAAATAAAAAATACTGATATTATATCTGAAATGTTCTTTGAAGCAGGTCGACAATATAGTGGTCAGATAATGGTTTTCTTTGATGGATTAATGTTTGGTTACAATTTAAGCTATATAGTACGAGTATATACTGTTAAGATCAGAAAATTAACAGATTAATGTATTATATCAGTTATTATAAAAATGACAGTCAATGTGCCACTCGAATTACTATTTAAACGTGATTTTAAATAAGCAAATAAGCATTTTCGGACTTGAATGGTGAACTGAAAAGAGAAATTTATACATTTTTTATACGTTCATCAAACTCTGAAGTAATTAAGAAAACAACTATACACAACTACATACTTCGGACTAGAACATATTTTTTTAACAGATTCTCAGATAAGAACTAGTATACTTTTCAAAAGAGCTTAAAATCTAAAAATTTAAATCGAAATTACACGTTGATAACATTAATAATTTATAAAGTGAACTAAAATCATTATAATTTGCTGTGATGATACTTTAAGCACGATTCATTATTATATTAAAATTATGATTTTATGAAATATATTTTTATGTTGATAAAATAAATATGTTCCTTTTTTTTATGCTAATAAAGTAATTATGTTCCTTTTGATGATCAATAATAAAAGAAGCATATAGGCGCAATATATTTGTACAGCGCTTAACGAGGACATTGTGTCTCCATATTTTTTAAAAAAGTCGCAATTCACTTCTATGGAGTCTTTAACTTACTTAAAACTAAATCATTTCATGAAATAAATATAAAATAAAATTAAATACGTGTCGATGTTAAATTATAATACACTCTTTATTATTACTATACTGGCATTGAAATATTATTTTCGTATTAATGGGATTTTTCGTCTATACATATACAATATATAATATACAATTATGCATTTTAGAATCCCATGGAAGTTTTGGGTGTGAAAATTAACTCGATTTATACAAGAAATAATTTACAATATTGTGTATAATTCGATTTCAATACATGTTTGCAGTAACAGTTCCAATAAACTTCGAAAGGATTTAGTAACATTATCTATTAGTGTTTCATAAGATTACTAGCAAAGTTTGTGAAAAATAGAACTATATTTTCCTCGTTGAATTTGAAACAAATTCACGTTTTAGAACTTTTCACGATCCGTTATTTGTAGTGATTAACTAGAACATAGAAATCCGATTTCCGGCAAAACTGTATCTAGCTACACTTACGAATTATCGTAATTTGTAGTAACAAATAAATGTACACGGCGTTAGTTTCTTTCACTGTGAAATATCAAAAACAAGTGTTTACACCGCAACGGTAAACCGTTAAAAGTATTAATTGTCGTTGTTTAGATTTCGCATTAAGGGAATTCTATGGCGGTCGTTAATACTTGCCCTACAACACATTTGATTTTATAATAATATAATAATAATTATAATAAACCAAGACGGAGGCAATAATAATTAATTCCGACTGTGACCAGCGAGGCGTTTTAATTGCACCGTGGTCGTAATTACAGTCGCTGATTTTTTTATTTTTATTTTTATTTTTTTAATCGTCTTTGGGTGGTCGAAATTATTATTCCATCATAACATTAACCATAATACACCACGCCAGCATGCGGTCATTTTTAAAATCGATTTAGATTTTTCTCATTCAACCTGCAGTACATTTGAAATCAATACAATCAACATCCATTATTATAAACTATTATTATTATTATTATTATTATTAATACTATTATTATTGCAATCGTTTTCGTCTTGTGCTTCTGTTGTAAAATATTATAAAATGTCTTTGGGGTAAATTTTTCTATTGTCAACGCACGTGCTATAAAAATTTACATCTATTAAAATTAAACGGTATTTTGTACTTTTAACAATAGGTTTGCATCACGTAAAGTCTATGTAATGTTACAGTTTTATAGGTAACCGATATGCGCATAAAATATTATATAGGTACAGTTGCGCGGTTATTGTTAAACAATTTGTCGGTGGTGTTGAAGTAACCTTCGTCTATCAACAACACTGTGGACTTTCACTTAGCGTATAATAATATAGGGCAGGCCGGCTATAATAAAAATAATAATTATTTTTTATTCGAATTTCTTAATTTGTACTGTACAAGTACTAGTACGAAAAAAAGAAAGGAAAACTTGTAATATATATAGTAGATGATGGCTCTAACGAGTAGATAATTTTAAGTTGATAATAACATCTTGGTGCGTTTTTATTATTTATATTATTAATATCTTATAACGTTTCTGATTTTAATACTCTAAAATGTCATTATCGAAACTCAAAAGTATAATAATTAATCTATAGGTACGTATCATGATGTTGTTAATGAAATTTTAAGAAACCAGTGAAATACCCATTAATATTTATAATATGACTATTTTTAAATGATTATGAATTAGGGAGTTAAGTATTATTTTTTTAAGATGACGAAAAATTGATTTTTTTCTTTTCCAATACTACCTACTTGGATTTATTAGCTTTTGACATTTGGTTCATTTACTTTTCAATGGGTATTTTTATTTATTCACATCATATTTCAAATACAACGGTGTCCTTACGTAATATTATATAGTTTAAAGATCATATAATGAATGTCTTAATGATGAAAACAATTATGTTATTCATTGTGCTTACTCTCTAAATCAATCACGTTAATTACCATGTCTATTTAAATGTTCAATAATAAATTCAATTGTAACACGTTTTATACGGTGTACAGTTATATTTATATTAAACACAGGTAGGTATGGTAATTTGTGGAATTAATCTGATGTTTGGCGTGTTCAGCTTTCTACACATAAACCTGATTTAGTTTGTGAAATTTAGATGTACTATCGCAGCATATACTGATAACAAGAACAATAGTTGTTAGTAATCGGCGTAAAATTAAAATCGGCGAATCTTAAATTCGTAGAAAATTTATCATCGTTTTTGTACATGACTTACAAGATAATTTTCGAATTCCATCAATAATGATAATTTTTTTAAATGTACCTCTAGTACGATTTTAAAAATATGCCAAAAAGTAATACTTTTACTAGAAATAATTTATAATATGATAAGAAAATGCATATTTTTTTGTTCGTTGTATTATTTATTGTTTTTACAGGATAACGGTGCAGGTATATATTTTATTCGCATCACCTAATTACTACAAGTACGCTTTAGTTTTTGTATAAAAGATAACAACTAAATTATTTGGATGATATTATTATTGCTAATTGCCATCCATTTAATATTTGGTATCTACAGCCAATAAGCAGTTTTTTTATGCTGTAAAATATATACGCTTCAATTTTTAATATTACAATATTAGTGTATATTTGAATTTAAAATACGACCAGATTTATTTTTCTATATTGTGTACTTATATATACGTCGAACTACCAAATTAGATTCATCAAAAACTAAATGTTATTCATTTTTATTGAATAAATTTAAATAAATTATGAAAATTACATTTTGTGGAACATAATGCAGTGTAAATCGAATTAAATTTTGTTCAAGTTATTTCGAACCGGGTTTTGATCAAATAATTAAAATAATTTTTTACGAATAATTTAGTTTTAATCATTGAAACAGAAACCTAATCTTTTCCATTAAATTTATAAAAATGTAAAATTGATCATATTACACTTTTATCAGTAAATAATGATTTTTCAACTAAATATCAAATTATGTTATTGTCATTCCTTTAAATTAAAGGCTGAAATTAATAGTTGGAATTAATAATAAAATAATAACCATTGATCAAATACTTTTAGAAGATATAAAGATTTTACATAGGAGTAAAAATATTTTAGTTCAAATAATGATAATTACAATAATGTACATATGGAAATGTATAAATGAGACTTAACAAGTTTTTTAAACTCTAATTAACTAAACTTGTAATGTTTAAAAAAAAAATAATATTTTTGTTTTAAAAATTAAAATTATTATTTTAAAATTAGGTTTACCGTGTTTTTACTATTTACCGTTAATATAGCTCAATGTTTTTTTTATTTAATCGTATTCTTTTGAGATATTTATAATTAATTGTTCGTTATATGCGAAGAAATATAACCAATATTAATACAAAAATATAAAATAATAAGTTAATTGTATAAATTCAACATTTATATCCATAGTTAATAAATAATAAGTATGATTTATTTAAAATATGTAATGATATTCATTTTATCATGTATATTTACTATATTTAATTGGTCATTGCAACTATTAAATTAAAAAAATATCAAAAAAATATAGAAATTAATGAACATAAATTAATATTTGAAAATATAGAGAACATACAATAAAGATATTATATTCCAAAGTACAATAAAATATATGTACATTTTTAAAAAAATTTCGAAACGCATTGTAAATATACATATGCTTTTTTTTTTTTAAATGAATCAATTTAATTTTAAATTATTTTTATCAATTTTACATTTTTTAATTGATTAAAAACTAAAATATATACCTACTTGTAAATTTGTTTGAATGTATTTAAATTAGTTTAAATAGTATGAGTGTCTAATAGGTTTTTATTAATTATTTTCTTTTAAGGCTTATTATTTATAACGAGCGAAACTTATTATTTTTACGCGTAGTATATAAACACTACTAGAATATATGATGTGATTATTTTCACCAAGTGAAATTCCTATACGACTCTCTCTATGCTCCTTCGTTATAAAAAATACTCATACATTTACCAGTTTAGGTTTTCTTATGTATCATATTATTATTTCTTAACAGTAAAGTGTAAATTACATTTTATTGGGTTACCTATCATTTTATAATAACTGACCAGTGCACATTTTTTAATTTCTGAGTTAAAATAATAAATAGATTTTGAAGTGCAATATTATTATTAAATATATGATTGTTTTGTCTTAACAATTTTGTATGAATATTTGTTTATAGCCCAACAGCAAAGATTTTTTTTGCCTTCGACCAATAATGGAAATTTCGCTTTACCTCGAGTGCAATTTCAAGATGATACGGAGAGTGACGAGATAATTGCGCCTCAACGTAGGCTGTCTGCTGCTGATCCTTCACCGTTATCTAATCCAGCTAGTTCATCTAGTTTTTTCACATCGCAACAACAACTACCACCAGGAACATTTACAAATTCTGGGCCATTTTCACGACCACCCAATGCCCAACAATTTATTTTAAATGGACAAACACAATTTCAACCAATTCGAAACTCGGGTTCCTTAAGTTTTTCTGATGCCGCATCTGCAGTTCCGCAACCATCATTCTTCCAACAAGCACCAATTCAGCGTCAACAACAACAACCACTTCAACAACAACAACAGTTTAATTTCTTTCCAAGTGGTTCCCAACAACAGCGATTCCGACCAATTGTACAACAACAACAGCCACGTACAGATCAGTCTGAATCTTTAGAAAACTTCGATGATAATCAAAATCCACAACTCTCATTAATATCTCAACAAGCGAGTCAAGAACGCTTTAATAGTGATTCTTCACGTCGACCTTTATCTCAAATAAATGGAATTTCACCAACTTCTAGAAGTCCGCCATCTGCGGTACCTATTAGATGGTGGAATCCAGGAACAGCTGACTCTGAATCAGGGGCTGTTAATACCGATAACGAATCAGTAACTGGAATTAACACAAGAGACGAAGTAGAAGAATTTAACCAGCAAAGGCAACCTCCAAAACGTGGACGCGGACAACCACAACAGGGGAAACGAAGACCTATAACTACATCAGTGCCTTCTTCGGTTCCAAGTTTAGATGAACAACAAGAACCAGCTGCCGTTGGATTTACTGTAATACATGACGAGAATGATGATAGATCGTCGTGGTCTCAACCAACTATTACTACACATAGACCACAGTCTGGACAAACATCATTTCGAAATAGAAATACGCCAACTGTAAACCGACGACCAACTACTTATAATCCATTATCTGCTGTAACAATTTCTCCTACAACTATAAGGTCTTCACCGCCATTATCTGTAACACTTAACAGACAACAACCAACTACTGTGAGAAGTAGAAAACCATCATCGTTTATTTCAACTACAAGTACTTTTAATCCTTTAGAAGACGAAGAAGAAGAATTACTTGTAGAAGAAAAGCATCAATTTTTACCTCGGAAGAATATAACGACAACAACAACAACAACAACTCAATCTCCTCCGGTACCAATTACTACTCTTAGGACACCTTTAAGACCTAGACTTAATACCCCAGTGACTTCGTCTCCACAACAACAACGAATGAAAAAAATTGTTAATAATCCTGCTATAATTCAAAGTATAATAAGTAGAAAACCTACATTGACTACTACTTCTACCACTACTACAACTACATTGGCTCCCACAACTACTACTACTAATCATGAAATAGTAGAAGAGTACGAAGAGTATGAAGATGTAGAATACAGCACGTCAGCTTACACAACAACAACTGAGCTACCATCAACTAAAAAACTCACAAAAGCACAACCGGTTACTCAACCGACTAAACTTATCCAAAAAACCCAGCCAACTAATGTTAGTTCAATAGGAACAACTGAAAGTTGGTTTGTAGTTGCTAGTGTACAAACAAGTCGATCTGTTTCGTCATCATCAAACTCGGCTAGTGGAACAAATAAGAATCTTACAGTGAAAGAGCCAACAACATCCACAACAATTACTCCTACATCCAAACATAGATTTAATAATAAACCAACAATAACAACTACTAGTACAACTACAGTTGAAAGTATCATTGATAAATTAGATAGAGTTCAATCGGAACTGTCAAATGGTATATTATACGGTAGTTCTTCAAATACTAATAATAGTCGTCAAATTTTGACTGATATGCAAAATAGTGGCAACAATGATGATAAACGAAATGATATTATCATACCATCGTTTACAACACCTCCAAACATTGAAAAAACAACTGTAACTACAATAAGTACTACAATACCTACTACTACTACTACTACTACTACTACTACTACTACCAGTAAATCTATTGCTACTGCTACAACTAGTACTGCCAGGACAACAACAAGCAAAAATGAGAATGAAGATGAAGATAAGGAAGAAGAAGACGAAGAAGAATCTGATGATTCTGATAAAGAAACAACGTTTGTTCGCAAATTTGTACCTTCCAAACAGAGAACTTCTACGGTTTCTACTATTTCTACAGTAAGCACATTAAAACCTGTATCACAAACAGGAAAAAAGAAAAGTTTAGTGGACTCGGTTAAATTTGATGAGTTATTAACAAGTGGATTACTGCCCGCTGGATTCAACCCGAAGCCACCGCCAGCATATAAATCTAAAACTATTACGACCACAACAACAACTGAATCGTCTTTGCCAGTTACTAGTATCACACAACCAACTACTAGTAGTAGCAGAACTACGTTTAATCCTACATCTAGTATTACTAGTACTACTACTGTAAAATCTAAGTTACCAGGTTTGAACATTAAATTTGTTGATGATTCTTCAGCTCTAGCTTCGCTATTGCCACCGGGATTTAAATTAGAAGATACTATTAAACCTGTAGAAATTTTGTCACCTTCATTACTTCCACCAGGGTATAAGCCACCTGCAGAAAATGAAGATACAACTAATACAAATAAGGAACCTGAAGAAGTATCCACAACAGTAATGTCAAAAATCGAAGTACCATTAAGTACAACAACGGCAGCCGCCTCTAGCAGTACGACAGGATTAGTTTTCCCCAATAGTGGTAAAGGAATAAATAGTTCCGGAACCAGGAAACCGTTACCATCAAATAAAAAAATGCAAGCTTCAGTTACAACTGCTCCTATCATCCAAAAAGGATGGCCAGTGAGGTAATTATAGATAATATTATAAATTATTATTTTGTTTTTATCATCATAAGTTTTTAAATAAATATAAATATATTTTATCTATAGGGCCAGCACTGAGTTTACTGGTTGGTCTACGCCATCGACCACACCACTTTCTATAGAAAAACTGTTAGAACAATCCAAAGCATCTGATCTAGCTGCTTCAATGACATCTACTGTAGAGCCTACAACTAGTTCTACAACTACTACAACGACTTCTACAACAACTATGAAACCACCTCCAACAACTACACCCGGCCAGTGTTCTGAAAATGATTCGGTTTGTGAACTTGTTGGTACTGTACGATTAGTTGGTTCTGGGTCAGAGAAATGGGTACCTGAATTACTTGACCACAATACTCCAGAATGGAGGTCATTAGCTAACGATATTGAAACTCAAGTAAGTAATAATTATTTATTTATATCGCAGTGCTATTATGTACAATTGTATTTATGTTTTATTTATATAGCTTGATAAAGTGTATAGTAAGTCACCTGCATTAAGTAAATGGTACAAGAAAATAACCATCGATTCATTTAGGTATGTATAATAGCATTGTATATTTTATGTACATAATATTTATCAAAATTTTGATTTGATGTTTTTAATTGATACTTTTAATACTAATTGAATTTTGGTCTTGAGAATATTTTAAAAATATATTATATTATAAAAAATTTAATTAATACTAATTTATTAAATTAAAATTTTTCTATAAATGGTGTATAAGGTTTTGTTTTATTTGATTATATTAGTCCTGGAAGTAATGTAATCAGTAATGGAAAATCTGATAAAAATGCTGGAGTTCTTGTTGACTTTTTCGTACAACTTAATCAGTTAGGACGTACAGTCAGTACTGCAGATATTCGTCGACTATTTCATGAAACATTGCAAAAAGAAGGAAGTTTAGGATCGTCTGCACAACCGTTACAATACGGAAATGGTGGTGACTACGATGGTCTATATTTAAAACTAGGAAGGTTCACCGTTGATCCAACACGCACGGATTTCATTGGTAATAAAATACATTTATTATTATATCAATATTTAATTAGGTATTATAAATACATTTTAATGATTTAAAAGTAAAAGTTATAATAATAGAATAATTTAACTGATTATAAAATAAATATTACTACGCAAATACTAAAAATGTATATTTATACTTTTATTTAATTTATTTCGTATGGAAAATAAAAATAAATTAAAACTATTGTATATTTATCTTGTGGTATCACCATTGCATTAATATATATATAATCACACGATGTTTGACAATGTTTTGAATTTTTGAATTAATATTATATTTTTTCATAATAGTATTGCCCAAACCTACAAGAGGAGTGACTGCGACCGCTGGGACAGATGACGCGTGGTTACCACAATGGGCTGTAGCTGTCATGGTCATTGGACTCGGATCATTACTTTTCGTATTAATTTTCGGCATAACAGTGGTTGGTATTTAAATATTATTAAAAAATTTATTTTAGAAAATATGGTAATTTGTTACTATTATTTTATTAAACTTTACAGCTCGTCAGTCGTAATAAGAGCAATAAAAAAGTACCGCCGCCGACGATACAGCCATCTATGATTTCCGAAGATCACCAGCAGCCTATATACGGTACAGGCAAAAATGGACCTACAAGTGGGAGTCGCCATATGTTACATCATCCGTCATCGCATTCAAATTCCAACTATAACATCAGTTCATACGGTTACGATAACTATGCAGTCGATGACGATATGATGATGTTGGATGAAGACGATCTAGAAGATGTTGACCGTTTGTACGACATGGATGCGGTATGGACCGATCACGACCACGAAAAGCTCAAAATTCCACATAACGGGGTCGGGAAAAAGGTTAGTTTTGATGAATACAATTTACAATGAATACATTTTTGATTTGATTCTATACCTGAAAAATTTACGTTTAATAGATATCTGAATAAAACTTTAATTTACTTATTTAATTATAGCATCGAGATACACAGCATTACGATAGCTGGCGATCAACAGCATTATCACCTCAAACGTTATCACCGGTTCAAAGTGGATATTATACCGGTGGAGGCGGTGGTTATAGTTACGGTGCAGAGCATAATAATTACGGAGATGAAAGGCGACATTATCATCGTGAAGCCACAAATCCACGATCACATCATCATTACCCAAGCTCTCATCATAACCCCGGCACGTCTTACACGACTAGTCCTAGGAAGCCACCTCAACAGTATCACCCTGACTACGATACAGATTTTTGATAAATTTACCGTCATGCGTTAGACGTAACGTTCAGTTGCCATTTAAGTTGATAATTAGGATTTTCAGTAATAAATTAAAAGTATTGCTGTGTATATAAATAATACTCGCTCATTTATTATTTTTATATTCTATTATTATTTTATTGCATACATATTAAAGTTATACTGTCTTTTCAAAGTTGATCCAATTTTATAATTTTATAAAACGTATAACTCTAGTCAAACAACTGCTATAAGCATACTCAATTGTATGACACCTATCCAAATGAAATATCATGTGATTTTATGTCTACTTTTTTTTACATATACCTCTTAAGATATTTTTCATTAAAAATTAAATTAAACAATTTATTTAATGTATATATTTATTAAAAAAAAAAAAAAAAACTATACAATTTTATGCTTTTTTTTTATTTAAGAAATTTATTTCATAAAATATATTATTATTTTTTATTTAATTTTTTATAACTATTGTTTTTATGAACACTAAATATCGATAATTTTAAGTCTCTGCTATATTTTATTATTATTATTATTATTATTATGATATTATCATTCCACGTGTTAACTAATTATTGTTATATTATAATATATTTGTATAGTAAAATATTCTACACGTAATTTGATATTATAAAAGTATCCCAAAAATATTTACTTATAGGTATATTAACTTAAACGATGCTAGTGTAATGGTATATTAGTATTGTGATTCACTGTTATAGCTCTGCTCTAGTTTTCAAACGAAGAGAATAAAAATTAAATTTGTATAATCTTTAATACTACTCTCTCAATTAAAGTATTAGTAAAGCATAGTGTTACATTATTTTAATGGTTGTACAAAATTAACGAATATTATGAGTGATTACTAATTACATCAACGTTTAAACTTTTTGTCTTTGACGTACTTATTATTTAAATATAAGTCAGGTATTAGATTATTATAACATTACAATCATTAAATAATCGTTGGAATATTGAAAATAAACATATTTTATGTAATACAAAAATACCAAATGCAATACTGAAATCGTTTAAACAATTTGATACATACTAATTTCCGCTACATCGTGATTTATTGAAATCAGTAACCGTTTCAATAAAATTGTAATATCCTGATTAACGGGTATAGTATATAAAAAAAAAAAAAAGATTAGGTAAGTACATGTATATTTATCTTTTTTTTAAATAAAAGAAAAGAAAAAATATTTATTGTCATTATTAAATATATAAATATATAAAAAAAAAATCAGTTGTTGGAGATATTTTTTTATTGGAATATAATTCTTTTAAATTCATTATAGCATTTAGAATGAATAAATTTATTTTATACTATATCATTATTCTGCGAACAATTTTCAATTTGTTAAAAAAACTGATGTTTCATTAAAAATATATTATTTTTTGACTTGCAAAAAAAAGAAAAAAAAACTTATTTTAGGTACAAGTACAATTTTAGAAATTTGTAAAGTACTCGCATTTTTTAAAATTTTTTATCATCACTGAAAAATAAAAACGTTTTTGATGAAGGGATCAATAAGATCAAAATATATCATATAATATATATCATGTATTATATATAATAATATATCATTAATTAATTAATTTATTGAAACTGTTAATGAAAATGTTCATATTTTAATTCAAATTCGTTAGTTTTATTACAATAACATTATGTTTTACATTAAGTAATTATAATATTTTTAGGTTTTTATTGTTTAATATATGATGATTCTAATTGAAAAAATATAGTCAATAATTAAACTGTAAAATAATAGCTTAGTTACATCCTTTTTTCTCGGCAGAATCATAAAATCATTATGGCTCAACTGAATTAGATTTTAAAATATGTGAATTGTTTTTAACTGACTGTAAAATAATATTACTCGTAAATTACCTTAACTGACCATTGCAGCCTATTATGATCAAACTATGATCAAACCACAACTAGTTGGTTTGAAACATATAGTTTTTATTGTTCTCATGCTCTCAGGAATATATGAATAAATTTTATAGATAACCTATACTTCACTTGATTATACCACTTTTGTTTTTACGTATCATTAGGCTTAGATATATAAGATAATTTAAAATTATCTTTAACTTTTATAAATGGCATTTCTTATAAATATGCAAAAAGAGTAAGTATTTGAAAATTTAATTTTTAATAACTATTTTTACTATTTGTACTCATGAAATAAATAAAAGTAGAATCAATGTTTTACAGATATAATATCTAATATAGTTGCTATAATATACGAACAACTACTTGGAATAGTTTTTTAATTAAATGTTACAATCTGAATTATTTGTAAATGTTCAATAAAACTAATCAATTTTTTTTATTTAAAAAATATATAAAAATATATTTTTACAAATCATACTCCTAAAAATCTGGCATGTTTTTACGTTTTTTGGCAATAACTCAAAAAGTATTTCACGTTTAAACAAAGTACGTATAGTTTCGTCGTTTTAAAAACATTATAGTACAAAAGGTATAAAAAAAAATTTAAAATTAAAGGGTTAGAAGCAGTTTTTAATTTATTTAATTGTCTGTTTCTATAAAATATAGTATTATAAAATAATCAAACCGATTTTTTTCATCAGAAAAATTACCATTATTAAATTATAGCCTGAAATATAAAACGTATCCGTTATATGATGACATATAAATGATACATTATAAAAATTGAGAATATAACTAGGATTTTTATGAAAAATAAAATAGAATATGTGTTAGAATATTTTTTTTAATATGCTAAAATATGCAATATAATAATGCAAAATTATATAATGTAAATTAGTTACAAATATTACAAAATACAATTTTCCGTTAGTTCTTAAAACTTATTTAAAAATGTTGTGATACAATATATTGGATTTAAGTATCTAAAATTGTCTATGTTATAAAATAGAATACATTTTTGCCATAAAAAATACTTAAACCTACACATGGTACAAAAATACGGAATATCATACATATCGTATAATGTTATTAAAGAATAAGTGTTTCCTGAGGGTTACGTTTTGGAATATTTTCTATTTAAACTGATAATAAAATAATATACATTTTTATGGAGAACTTGACAATGAAATGTATGAAAATAACAAAATTTGTTAAAAATCTCTCATGTCACGGGAAATGTTGCAATTATAAGGAAATTCTTGCGCAACTCCTGCTTTATACAATCAGTCACAAGCTATTATATAATTATTTTATTCAAAGTAAACGACTTGGTTGCTTTTAATGAGGTTTATTAATTACTTAAAAATATTTTTACTTAATAATGATGATAATAATAATATAAAACACAACTACAGTAAAAATAATTAATTATAAATGTATAAGTATTTATTTATTTATTAAATCGAAATCCTTACAGCTGTTTTCATTTATATTGTACTTAGCTTCCATGAAAAAAAAAAAATAATTAAATGTATGAGCATTATAGCCTACAAACGATATTAGCAGTAAAAGGTGATATCCACATTTATGTATGTGTGACAGATGTGGTAAAATCTTTTAGAAAACCAAGTCAAATAGTTCGCTGGTAATATTTATTTTTCCATAGAAAATTTAATTATTTTTACTAGTAAATTTAAAACTATAGCACAACGTATGTACAGAAATAGTTAATATGTAATCATGATTAACTAATGAAATATATAACTAAGAAAAATAACTAGGGATGCGATATTGATATTTTAATAAATTAATAGATATATTATAATAACTTATAAACATATTTCTAAGAAAAAAAAACCCAATTAAATTCAATGTGATTTATTTTATATAGTTCAATCTCACTTAATTATTTCGAATAAAAACTGTTAACAATCACGATAACTCTCTAGGTAATAAAACGAGTGAAATTAAATATTTTTTGTTCTCCAATATTGTTGTTGCGAAACGTATAGTATTAATGGTCAAAAACGACATTGGAAAACAACCATTGTGTTAAAATAATCTGTTGTAACGCAAAATATATTTTTTTACGCAGGGCTCTTCGCGGTTTTCAATGTGAGAATCAAAACTTAATACATATATAAAAATATAAGGAGAATTGTGCGGAGAGAAATTTCAAAATAAATAATATCTCAAATGTTTTGGACTGTAACGCCTATCAGTAACCATATGACGATGGCGACGGTTAAGAAGAGGGCGATTCTCGTTTTAAGCGGATCCCAAGGTGACGTCTTTACCGCCGGACATTTAGGCAAACAAGCGTTTGGCAAGGCGTTGGTGCCCTGAGCGTTTGCAAACTTATTGCCCGATGAACTATGTTTATTGTCGTTAGTAGTGCCACAACATTTGGCTGTTGGAAGTCTGCAATCTACCACTCGTTCCATTTCCATCGATGGCTTTCGAGTACCGTTATCGTCGTTCACGCAACACGTGGCATTGTCGTATCCAACGATTTTGTCCATATTTTCGTTCGTCGAATACTTATTGTGTCCCTCGACTGATAAGCGCCTGGAAATAAATATTAAGATTAAATATTTTGTTGGTATTAGAGCATCGACCACGAGAGCAGTTAAACGCTTTTGCCCGAGCAAATATTTCTATAGAAATTTTACCAAACACCAGGAGAGCAGTAGTGAACTTTTTTCGAGTTAAACGCCCACATTCGGTTGCCGGGATTTTTTCTAACGGTTACCCGCACAACGAAACGCACGCGCTTCCGGTTATTGAAAATAATATTAACGCGACTCGCACTGTAATACAGCCAGGACGCATAGATATTCCATTCTTACGATATTCGATGCGCGATTAAAATAACGAAAAAAATATTCAAGCCCTCAGTTGCGCCTGCGCGATATTATAACGTTTAATACATACGTGTAGTATACGTACGGGTTCGAAATTAATTATTATATCGTTTCACGCTTGTGATGTTTCTCGTATTATTTTAGTTCGAAAGCCCAACAGTTATTGAACCAATTATCGAACCGCCGAGGTGCGAATAAGCGGACCAACGGATTCGAAACATATTGACGTTTCTCGAACGGCGTACGACAGCGCGTATCTACCGCGGATCTCACCTATCGCCAGAGGCGTGTTTAACAAGGGGCAAAGAGGGCATTTGCTTTCGGTGGCAAAATTTGAAAATATTTCATAGGCGGCATTCATATACTAATTTTTCAAACATTTTTTTTTGGTTTTTTGTAATAAATCAATTT